TATTCGAATTCTAGGAAAGCGATTTTTATTAATATACATTTATATAAAATGACACGATGACTTGACAGAGACACGTACTGACAGGTTCAGGAAGAATAGAACAGACTTAAGTAGCTCTAGCAGCATGTGCTGCTGAACTCTGTTCGTAAGGTCGCAAATATTTTTTTGTGTAAGCGCGTACGTGCGCTACTCTGAAGGAATTGTAAGTAAGAGGACTACTCCAAACGTACGCTGATCTACGTCTAACACGAATAATCATTATTATTCTATTTACACTTTACCACTATATAAAATATCTTAAAATACACCTTCATTTCAGTATCTTGCTGCAACACCGAATCTGAAATAAATGAAAAAAAACGAACGAAAAACAGGCGACTCTTGGGGGTGAAGATACATTAGGTTAATGCAATTTCGCAATCATTTCAGGCACAATGCTGGGGGTGGAAAAAAATTAAAAGCATTTGCAGAATCATTGATAGCAATCCTCTTATTTCCGGCCGTCGGCTACAGAGTTGCACTCACCTGTAAGAAGCGGTGGACCCGACACACTCCATGGTTAGGGTTGCCAGATATGGGACATATAGATACTATTTCATATATATTCTCATTCTGAATATAGTCTGTAATTTACGCGAAGGCAACATACTTAAATTTTATTAACGGTTTAAAACGCAAAAGGTTAAGTTAACTTATTTTAACTACGACGTTTCGGATGCTTTGCCGTGACCCCGTGACCACGGCTGCTGCAAAGCATCCGAAACGTCGGGCCGAAGTTAAAAATCATTTCCAAATAAGTTTAACTAATATTTCGCGTTTTAAACCGTTAAAGTGTTTTATTTAAATGTGTACTACTCGCGTAAACTATAGACAGTATTTAACATTACATTAACATTCAAACGTACAATGAAGTTTATGTATTTTGGATTATTAAATTTTTGTATAAGACGTAGACAACCCTAGCTCGTGCATCGCTTTCCTTCCACTACTTTAACCGACATTGGTGCGGTCAAGGGGGCTTCTATTCAAATCTTCCACACGCGATTTAGACTCATAACACAAGGCGTTTGTTACCAATTTCGCAAAACCGTCTCGAGTGCATTATAAGAATCTTCAGCGAAGTCTAAAGGTAAAAGGGGAAGAGATAAATGTTTCGGATTTTCTACATTATAATTTTATACTCTGTCCTCAAGCATAAGCCGACCGCTTCTGTAGCTAAATGGTTAAGCGTGTTGTCTATCATTGATTTAAGCGCGAGCGGTCCTGTGTTCGAATACAAAAATATGTTTAAAAGAATTATTATTCCTTAAACTATCTAAAAAATGTCCGACAGTATATGTGTCTGACATATAATGTCGAACATTTTTTCTTTTAAGATTAACTCACACGAAGCGTCATCAAAGGCTACAAATATATGAAGCTGAGTAGTTTATTTGTTTGAACGCGCAAATCTCTGGAATAACTTCGATATGAAAAAATATTTTTAGATTGCCAAGAAACACCAGGAAATGTGAAAAGCGAGGAAAATTATTAATTCTTGTGAGTTTCCGTTGCGTACGGTGCGAAAACGATTCGAGAAACACAAAAAACATCAATGAAAGAATGAACTGAAATGAAAATGAGAGAAAAAAATGTTCGCGACAGTATATTAGACATCTCTTAATCTTGCAAGAACGATGGGACGCGTACGGCGTCGTGGATAAAGCTATAATTTATAAAGATGTGTAAAAACAAATTTTGATGTCCAAAATAACTATCCTACGCGGACGAAGTCGCTGACACAGCTAGTAAATGCCTACAAAGCGTTTGTAACGTCAACTAGTTAAGCTTAAGTTTATTGTATGTTATACAGTTTAAGTGAGGTGTATAAATATACGAAAGCATAAATAGCACCGTCCCTTTTCTACTGTATTACACGGATAGAGAGCAGATGAGCGCACCTCTCGTCTTTCAATTAGCGAGAGGTGAATAGACAAGATTCACCCCCGAACATGATCAAAGCCATTACACAACTTGATCTAATTAATTCGACGTTGGTTATGTTCGTTCTACGTGATGTAGCATTATGGATATCGCTTTTGCAACTTGAAATGTCTATACTAATATTATTAAGCTTAAGAGTTTGTTTGAACTCTCTTATCTCAGGAACCACTGAATTGAAAAATTCTATCAAATTATATTGAAAGAAATAAATATTTATTGAATGCCACAAAACTATAAAATACAACCAGAATACTGAAAGCTTTTATTACTGAAATTCGTTATTAAGATTTAGTTGCACGTCAGGATTCAGAATCAGCTGGATGCTGCGCGAAGGGGATCGCCCAGCGTAGTATTTTACTCCCTCTGGCGGAAAAATTTAATATTTTAACTAACAATCCATAATATAACCAATAGTATTATACAGTTATTTTAGTGAGTATATAATATAATAACAATTAGTATTACTACTTTGAAAAAAGTATTAAGTAAATGTGAAAGCATAGACACATTTATAGAAACTCACACATTAAGAAAGTATACTCTACACTCTAGACTCAAACGATAGTAACATGTTTAGAGGAATACACAACAACGATATTTCCGTAAAGAAAATTAATTATCTTATATACAGTTTAAGCAATGGAAAATAAAGACACGACCATAAATGGTAAAGCACATATATTTCCGTTGTAACCTTAATATTATTGTATTTAACTGAAACAGAATCATTTTTACAAAAGTTTATTCATGCATGAAACTTAATTACCTTCATATTTCATACAAACGAATTCACGTGTGCACCACAAAACATTTGAAATGCGCTTTTAAAAGCTTCGCAGCGAACAATGCTAACTTAAACGCGGATTTTGTTTTAAAATAAAACGAGATTAGGAAGAATTACGCCTCGACCGCACTCTGAATGTAAGTTTATCATAAAAATGAGGAAAAATTTTATTATTTCTGTTTGTGCTCATATTAAAACTGACCTATGCATTTGAGAAGCAAGTATGACTAATAATTACGGTATAAAATACGAAAATTACTTAACATAATGTCAACGACAACTGTTTCAAACGTCACGTTGCATTTAAAATAAATGTAATTGTTTTATTTTCTGTGTACTGTCTAGAATGGTCAACTAACTATTTCATTGATTTGTAAATATCTTAGTAAAATGTGCGAATAACCGAATAGATGTCCGCGTACATCAGTCGCATCCGTCGCGTCGTTCTTGCGAGTTACTCTTAAAAAACACACAGTGTGTCAGACATGTTTTTAGATCATTGAAATAGGGATCCAAACATATTTATTTGGTATCTTGATCCGTTTTCGTAGCGCATGCAACGAAAACCGACAAAGATGAAAAGTGTTACCCGTCTTTTTCACTATTTCACATTTTCTGCTATTTCTTCGCTCCTATTTTTCATAGCGTGATATTTTATAACTTTCCTCGATAACCAACACAAAAAAAAATTCAATTCGAACCAGTAGTTCCGGAGATTAGCGTGTTCAAACATGCAAATTATTCAGCTTTATGTATTACTCGTAGTATAGATATAGATAATCAAATTAAATATATGTAACATATATAAACTCCCTACACATTTTCTTTTGAAAGCTAGTAATCGAAAACCTCATTGGATTGCAACTGAGTACAAATCAACGTTATTATATTTTTACTTCAGTGCACGAGCAGTAATACATTTTCAAGTGTCGAAGTTCAATAACGTAGTACCATACGAAACGAATCGAAAATCGATATAAATCGAAGAGACTATATTTTAAGAGCGACACTAAATCTAGAAAATAAATTCTATTCTGAGGCAAGCAATAGATTGTTTCGGTAAGGCAAGGCACAGAAGTCTGATCAGCGGTTCAAAAGAACCGATTAGCAAAACGGACACAGAAATGTGCTCGCCCCATGTCGCCTTACAGTTTGAAAACTTTAATATTAGTCTCCCCGTGACCACGGCTGCTGCAAAGCATCTGAAACAGCGGGCCGAAGTTAAAACTCAATTTTCAAATATATCGCGTTTTAAACCGTTAAAGTGTTTTATAAAGCTTTAATAGTTTTCACATGTAGGACTCGGTAGCTCAATTGGTAAAAGCAACAGCAGGGAACGACGATGTCGGTTCAAATCCTGTGCTTGTCATACAATTGATTTTCGATTTTTAAACGGAATTTCACTAAGCCCGTGTCTAGGTCACAGACTGTATTAGATGTTAAAGCTATTAAATCTAGTTTATCTCATGAGACCTTTCAAGATAAAGAGAAGGGAAGATTGAGGTTATTAAAAATGGTTAAAGTTAAAATAAAACGTAGAATAGACACTGATGAGATTTGCAGAAAAAACTTCCCAACAATTCCAGGAAAATGGCATCGGTTTTCTTTGTGACCTCCTCATTTTTCTTTGTGAAGTTTTATATCGTTTTAAAGTGAAATATACAGTTTACAGTCTCAAATGCAATATAGTTATTATTAAATTATATTTGCTATTTGTTACTCGTTAATTTTCCACAGCTGGGCTCAAATCTCTTCTTGCTTAGAAGGTTTTACCCATCACTCTGCTCCAATGCGGTTGGCGAGCTTAAACGACTTTCACCATTAATTTTGTGGAGACCACCAGCTCTCATATCGAAGGAAATTTAAATATCGAACTACTAATTCATTTGACCCAGAATCGAACCGGGGACCTCGTGGTTTGTAATCTATTTCACTGAGCACTAGGGCAATATGATATAAAAATAACTTTGCGTAAATATGCGATTCCGTGATACTGACCTTTATTAGCTGACATCAGTGTTTGGAAGAGACAACAACACATTTATATTATAATAGCCGATATATAGCAGTTATAGGAGACGACAGCCTTACGGTATTTCCTAACATCCACAATCTAATACAAGGATATTAATAATGTATTGGTTGATGAAACATATCGTTTTAACGTACGATTTTTCCGTCTCGGAAACCAGTCGATTTCAAATGTTCGGTTGGAGTGGTGGAAGGTGGAAAAATGAATAATTTATTCGGAGATTTCGTTTTTATATCGATATTTTTGCACGTGAGTGGTGTCCTGTTTGACAGGTATAGCGGGAGAAAAGTTGACGAGAACAGCGCGACGCCATTTCGATTAAAGAAATATCTTGAGTGAGTTTTCTTTTCGTGTTTTCTTAGCTGCTGCAAAGGATCCGAAACGTCGGGCCGAAGTTAAAAATCATTTTCAAATAAGTTTAACTAATATATCGCGTTTTATTTTCGATTTTTAAATTGTATAATGCCTTCATATGCAATAACATGTAAAAAATATTAAAGTTTTCAAACGTTATAACTTTGTAATTTCATCTTCAATGATTTCTTAGGCTGCAAAGCATAAGAAGTTGAACCTTAATACGCAAGTGTTAAGGTTGAAATTGCATTGCGCGAGAGGTGTATGTATCGATAAGTTGAAAAGATTCGACGATGAGGTGTAGGACTCGGTATCTCAATTGGTAGAGCACGGAACGCTGACGATGCCGAAAATTTTTTTCAATTTATTTTCGATTTTTAAATTAGATTATATCTATTTATAGACGATGCACAATAGATATAAAGCCATGCGCTGCGCATGAGGTGAGCCGAATCAGCGGCACTTGCAACAATTACAAGCATCCGGCAGCCGGCGCAGCCCGCAGACCGTATTTACGATTGCTAAACCCGGATTATGCTAATCGTGAGTATATTTCATAAGTCCGTTTGTATAACAATTCCGCTGAACGAATATTATTTCTTAGTATTAATTCATACTTATAAAGGCATTGAAATGAATAACGCAATTAATGTTAGCAATAACTAATAAACAATGTCTTGTTTTAAACCGTTAAAAGTATTGCTACGCAGTTCTCATTTAATAAAACAAATCAGCATTACTTTTATTAAATAGCTGCCCTGCCGACATGAACTCCATCATAATACCTTGTAATATTTTAACTTGGAAGCAAGGATAAAAATTTATTTATTTATTTAGTAATTTATAAATAAATAAAAATATTAATATAATAATATAGACCCGACTATTTTATATAAATGTATTTTAATCTAGATAAAAGTATTGCGTGTTTATTTGAAAGCGTTTTTATGATAACGGTACATTGTGTATTACTCGCGTAAACTATAAACAGTATTTAACGGTACATTAATTCAACACTACGAAGGCTTTTATTAATTTAAACCACATCATAAATCGGGATCGATTAAGCTTAAAACCGCCGATATAGCGAAAAATCCATTATATTTATTTAACGACTAAAGCTTAAGTAAATATTATTGGTAATTATGATTAAATAAAACACTTTAACGGTTTAAAACGCGATATATTAGTTAAACTTATTGAAAATGATCTTTAACTTCGGCCCGACGTGTCCGATGCTTTGCAGCAGCAATCCCCCGTGACCACGGCTGCTGCAAAGCAAATGTGTAGGTACTACTCGCGTAAAGTATAGACAGTATTTAATTATGTTTAAATTAAAACGTCAGTATAGATTTTATAGAAGAGTATGTTAGATGCGAAAGTTCTACTTTACGGGTTCAAATTCTGTATGAAGAAATTCAACCTAAAATGATTTAAATACTGTCTATAGTTTACGCGAGTAGTACACATTTAAATAAAACACTTTAACGGTTTAAAACGCGATATATTAGTTAAACTTATTTGAAAATGATTTTTAACTTCGGCCCGACGTTTCGGATGCTTTGCAGCAGCCGTGGTCACGGGTCTCCCCGTAATAAAACGAGTGAATTGAGGTTTTAATTACACTTTCTGTGACATTATGAAACATGTAATAGTTAAAATTAATTAATGACTAATAATTAAAGGGTCTTGCGTTCGACGATAATTTTTCTAATTAATGCACATTCCTGTAATTTTTCTTATTAATTTAGCATTTATCTTAAAGGAAGTCTAACACTTCGACTGGAAATGTGAATATTAAATAGGTCACGGACCACTGTCCACAGATGTAAAAACGTGAAGTTTAATTGCGATTCGGTTTCAGTATGTGGATTTCCGAATTACCATAAAAAGGCCGACAGCGCATCTTCTTAAGACGTTATATGACTAGGGTCAAGTGAACCTCTTGCTTGTCTGTCCTCTACCATAAAAAATACTTTACGTTTACTTCACGTTCAAAACTGTTTTATTTTTTAAATTTAATTTAAACATTACTTTAGATTCAGCTTAACTAATAGCGCATTTGTAACACAGAGACCGGAATACGAGGTGGCAAGAATGGACAGCCCCTCCCATCTCCTCGCTTCGTCCGGACAAGCCTTACTCAAGCAACGAAATTTGTTCTTGACAAGAGTATCCTGAACGCTGCAGCTTTGCACTTCGTAGAATTGGTACGCAGAGATTTGAGCACGTTGAACGGAGCTGGTAAGTAACACTCTATAAATAGAATAATCTAATCACTACCTAAACTAATAATCTATTCTTTGCCATCATGTGCGTTTCACTACAAATGTTGATGTTTTTAATTAAATCTGAATCATAAGAAAGCAGATAAAATAGCATTTATTAAAATTACATATCATCATCATAAAATATTAAGTACAGTCTATACTTTAAGCATTGACAGAAGACTGGAGGAAATCGCCATAGGCGATAAGGCCGCATAACTCTTTAAGGTTTATAATTAATTTAATATTGTTATATAAATACATTACTTAACTTAGCCATAAATTATATAACCACGGGCCACGTAAAGCAGCATGCAAAGCATTCAAAATGTAGGGCCAGTATTAAAATATATTTGTGAACATGTTAACTAATACACTTTCCGTTTCAAGCCGTTAAAAGTGTTTTATTTAAATTAACATCTTTAAGCTATCTGCTTCTACGTACTTGTTCTAAATAATTTTAATTCTCCAAAAGAACTACAAATATCTTTATGCGGTATTTCGTAGGCTTTGTGCCTCCCCGTGACCACGTCTGCTGCAAAGCATCCGAACGTCGGGCCGAAGTTAAAAATCATTTTCAAATAAGTTTAACTAATATATCGCGTTTTAAATCGTTAAAGTGTTTTATTTAAAGGCTTTCATTAAAATCGGGCTCGCTGTAGAAAAAATTACAGACATCTAAAAATGCGGTCTCCACCGTACTTACCGTACCGAACAGTATTACAGACACAATCCTGGCATCTTTTTATCCATGCCATGCTGACCTGTCAAAGGCCACATCTAGCTCTGTCAAAAAGTTCAATTTTGTTTGAAAAATCTTACCTTGAATACGAATAAGGTATGACTTTGATAAACAACTACTTACATTAAACAATAAGGCTTGGTAATCGTTTAGCTCTAGTCAAAAGGCACGCTATTAATGCTTTGTGTATTACGCTCTGTGTTTCGGTAGAACAACACGACCATTTTCTATTTGTAATTAACAAAATGTTGAAATTAATTTTCACTCTGTACAATGGCCACGTCTTTTTGGCTATTTAATTAATTATTAATGATGAGAACGCAAGGGTGCTATTAAAATAACCTTGCGCGTGGTTGTAATTTTACTTAGTAAAAAGATTTACACGAGTAGTACACCGGTTTAAAAAGAGAAATAGTGTCACGGGAGATGCAAAGTATCCGCAACGTTGGGCCGTAGTTAAATAACTTGATTTTCAATTATATACGTTAAATTTTCTCGTTTTAAACCGTTTTATTTAAATTATATTTTATCGTAGAACGTTAACGTTAGTGACGTAACGTAACGTTAGTGTTTCGATCTCAATCTATGGATTTTCAATATCCGAGGCCAAATAGGGGGAGAGCGCACTTTGTTTTGTGTAGTAACAACGAGTCTAGTTTTGTACGCGCTACAACGTAGCTTGAAATGCTTAAAGTTTTTTTTGTGTGTTCCTCAAGTGAACTACAGACAGTTCTTACTCCGTAAATCGTCACACAATATTCAGAACCCGAAATGTTACAGTGGACTCCCTAGACAGGAACTGTTGCAAAACTAAAGACGTTCCCGACCCCCGCTGTATCGCCATACAAGTTGATAACGACCGTTATCTCGAAGGAATTCGCTGTCTCAACTACTCAAGAGCGGAAACTTTCCAAGACCTCGGTTGTACCAACGACGTACCCCCTGCACAGGTAGGATTTTGACTAAGTTTTAATAAGACGGTTTCGGCTAGACATTGAGACGCGATACTTGTGCTTAGGACTTGGTAAGAGATAACTTACAAATCTTTGAACGTCAGTTTAGTCATATTTATGGTCAAAAATTAAAATATAAATTGACATGAGTAGATGCAACGGTCTTAAAGAAAAGTGTTTCATAAATTTTATTGCATAATATTTAATAATTTAATATTAGATTGAAAATCGATTGACACGGTAGTTCAATTTGGTTTTGAGCTACAGCACGGAACGCTGTGCGTGTCAGTTCAAGCCCCGTTCTTAACGTAAATTTTGTTGAAATAGATTTTGAGTTATAAATAAAAATGCTACAGTACTATGGTGAGAGATATGCATCGGGCTGAATTAGGTCCGATGAATAACTCTCACCGGGCTAATTTGGCTAATATCGGGCTGAGTTTGTGTCAAATATATTTATCATTTACTTAAAACTATGGTCGGTCTATGACAAATATTTTTTTAGTTTCAGGTATAACATACATAAAATAGAGTAACAATATAAAAAGTCTTTTTTTCCTTCGTGCACAACTTTTTCTCGCACTTATCATGTTTATAATTGTTTTGAGTTTATTGTTGTTAGTTGTCTTTGTATATATTGTTGATGCTTATTCCATTAGCCAGATTTTTTTAGACTAGCTTGAGGTTCCCTTTATGGTTGGTAAAATACCATAGCCATAAAACATCAAACGCAATGCTGTCGAGCTATTTTTAAATTTGGAAACCATCAGACTTAAACCGAAAGGCGTTTAAATTTAAGGCTTAAATTGTAAATTTATAACCTGTTGGTCCTGGCGGGAGTCGAATCCACGACCCGTTGATTCTTATTAGACATACATTGTTACCATAAAACCAACAATGTACAGTTTTTAGAACTGACTCACGGGTAGGCCTTCTATGGTAGATATAAACGAATAAATATTTTATAGATTAACTATCAAACGCCACTATTGGATTTATCCATAATATACGGAACTGAGGAGAAATCGCAGGAAACCACGCGCTCGTACAAAAACGGCCTCCTTAAATTGGAAATGAGGGACAATCGTTTCGTCCCAGTGAACAATGGGACCGATTGCTTCCGTCACACTAATAACACATGCTATTCTATCGGTAAGAACTCGCTGGGTACAGACAACACACTATTCTTTTCTATTAAAATTAAAATTATTTCAGAGCACGAATTATTGAGAAAATCATTCATAACTTATATGTATAACAATTTTACATTCTTTAAACCGTTAAGATTTGAAACAATATTATTTTACATCAATTAGATTATTATTTATAACTGAAGAAATTTATACTACGATATGATGTGGTCGTGGATATAAAAAAACATTAAATGTTTTCTTTAACGATTTTTAATATATAGTTTAACTAATATATATCGCGTTTCAAACCGTAAAGTGTTTTATTTCATGTGATAAATTGAGTGAAATATTGGTGTTTTGAAACTAGTAGCGTATTAATTACTATTTGTATTTTAAAGGTCTTCCAAATATAACATTATTGGACTTGCGTACGAGTACTCTGGCGATCTTCTTCATGCGTGAACATAATCGCTTGGCGCGTGCATTGCAAGACCTGAACCCATGCTGGAAAGACGATAGACTGTTCAAGGTGGCCAGACAAATCAATATCGCCACAGCTTCCAATATATTTATGTACGAGTTGTTACCGAGAATTATGGGTAGATATTATAGATTTTTGATAAGATGAATTAAATCAATATTAAATCATTTTTTCTACATACATTAAGACTAAAGATAACACGAAAAATTAAGTATAAAATAGATGTATATGGCACACAGCTTTTATTGTATACCTGGAAGTGGACACGACGCTGATTATTATCAGTAATGACCCACGCTTGACACATACATGTACATAAAAATAGACATTATAATGGTCATTGGTCACATGAGCTAAAAATCCCATTTGGGGCCTTGGCCCTTTCTTTTCCCTGTTTTTGTGTTTATTGTCTATAAAAGTGAACGAACGTATTATACGTATCCTTTTTTATATAGCATTTGGGATAATTTTTTTTGGGTCTGGTGTTTGAACCCCCCCTTAATCCAATCCACCCTCCCCCCCCCCCCACAAGGGTTTTTTTGGGGGATGCACTTTTAATTAATAACTAATAGTTACAACTTAAAATAAGCACTTATGGAATAATATAACACCGTTATATGTATCTAAATGAAACCTTTGTCCCCTGATTTGGAAGTGAGTGTAGTCGCCTTTCATCTCTTGTAACTTGAATTACCTTTTATCTAAAAACATTTGCTTTTAATAAAAATTTAACGGTTTTAACCCGATTATTGACCTATTTGGAAATGGGGGGGGTTTGGTTTGTTTTTTCCCTGACTACGGCTGCTGCAAAGCATCCGAAACGTCGGGCCGAAGTTAAAAATCATTTCCAAATAAGTTTAACTAATATATCGCGTTTTAAACCGTTAAAGTGTTTAATTTAAATAAGAATTAAAAGACAAATGCAAGTTATTTTGGATTGAAACACAAGAATCATTTAGATTTCTATTCTGTATAAAGTTTGCAAATATAATTAATTTTTAAAGGTTACCAAAACATGCTGGTCTACGATCTAATCTCAAGTCAAACCGATTACGTGACATCTTATGACGTCCAGACACCCCCCGGAGTGTACGCAGAGTTTGAAATAGCTTTGAGGTTCTTCAAAACGTATATGAGCACGAAAATTGAGTATGTATTCACATTCAGTACATCTGAAAATAATGAAATAAAATTTTTTTTTTCATGTACATTTACAATAATACTTAGTACGTTTTTAAAAGTCACAAAATAAAAATATATATTATATAGTGCCTTCATGTGCAAAAACATGTGAAAAATATTAATGTTTTCAAAGTATGTTAATGTTTGTGTCAGTTTAACTTAACGTTATTATAATAATTCGGTTCTTAAATTATTTTTCAGACCTATGCTAAAAAAAACTAGAATAATTAGAACAACTTTAGTAAATATTTTTGTTTTCCCCAAATATCTAGTAAAAATTGTAATAACTTAGTAGTTATTATAAAAAAATAGATTGCGTATATTTTTTATCGTAAATATTAAGCTGCTAATATTTAAGAGATTTCTATCTGAATGCATAACGAATCTCTTTATCCAGAAAGCTTTATAGACAGACTTTGTAAAAATATTACGTCCGCAGACTAAGCAATCTGAAAGGAATATTATTCGTATCTGGTCTTTATATAAATCTATTTTATCGTATTCAAAAACTTTTAGACCTAAAAATAAAAATTATGTTTACGTTGCATTCGCCATACGTTAAAAAGAAAATTTGTGTATTAAATAAAATATCAAAGCTTCAAAATCAAAAACAAATGGAGAAACATCAAATGATTTATCTTATATAATTCGCACCACTGGTACATGTTAATAGTGTTTTAAATTGTTTCAGAGTTCAAATTTTTTTAACTACGGCCCGGCGTTTCGGACGCTTTGCACTTCGACGTCAGAGACATCCTTATCTTTAATCTCAACGTGACCACTGCTGCTGCAAAGCATCCGAAACGTCGGGCCGAAGTTAAAAATCATTTTCAAATAAGTTTAACTAATATATCGCGTTTTTAAACCGTTAAAGTGTTTTATTTAAAAGCTTGTATTTCCTAATAACATTTTTTCCAATGAATAGGGAACGTTTCTTAAGCGTCCGAAAAGATAAAAAGCTACAGTGTTTTGTTTACAGAAAATATAATGAAGAATACGAGAAGGTCGGCGAGATTGAACTGAATAGAAGTTTCTTTTCACAAAGCCTACTCGAGATTGAAACAAATTTCGAAGAGATCAATCGAGGGACGTTCCTTCAGAGCGCTGGAAATACAGATAACGTAGACAACATTAAGGTTTGTTTTTCTTTAATCGAAACGACGGATGCGAAACAAGTGGACAAGTATCGTAGTAGATAACGGAATTTATTTAAATTAAGAAACGAGATGACTTCCCTCTTCAATTCAATTCCAACGAACGTAATCGTTAAGTACATTTTTATTGTTGAAGACAAACAAACGCAAGCTATTCCCGCGATTTCGTTCGCGTGCAATAGCCTCTTTTGAAAACGACCTCCTCAGCTTTTCAAACTATAGCTGTTACCCACGACGCCGTCTGCGTCCCGTCGATCAGATCAGCATTTCATTGTCTTGAATATTTTTTCGCAGCACATGCAACGGACAGCCTGATGTTATATAACCTTCCTCGTAAAATTGAGAATTTTTCAATTTGAACTATTAGGTAGTAGTAGTTTTGAGATTGGCGCGTACAAACAAACTCTTCAGTTTTATAATATTAGTATAGATAACTAAATTTCTTGGTCTTACAAAATTAAAGAAATCGATAATTCATTTGTAGCAAACGTCGGGTCATGCTTAAGTCGTAGGTTCATTTCCCACTGGGATCGACAGTTTAATACATACAATTTTAAATATCTTTAATATAGTTTCGTTGACATTTAGATATTAAATTGGTGTTAGCAATATTGAAACTCCTAAATAACTAAGCAATTCAAAAGAAATATTATTTTCACATCGAAGGGCATAACGCAGATCAATGTTTTTCTAAAAGCAAATTGAAGTAAGATTTCTTTTTAAGCTGAACTTTTCAACGAACTTTCAAGATGTATACGATCAAGTCTCCATGGATATACAAAGAGGCAGGGATCTCGGTCTACGAGGCTACAACGACTATAGAGATTTCTGTGGTTTGAAACAAGCTAAAGATTTTGACGAGCTCAAAGACGTTATTGATGAAGAGGTGAGAGTGCATATCTATAACATAGATTATAGTACGGTGCATAAAGTAGAAGCCGTAAGATACTTAATACGATTTCTCGCATAATATGCCAGTCCCGGCAACTTGAGACTTTTTTATAAATTTTTTAACATTCCTCAAAATTGGATAACGAAATTTTTTGATTAAAAATCAAAACAACAAATCAAACCCAATTAACTGTTAAGCTTAATTTTGAAGAAAGCAAAAACAAACAAAAATACAGATTTGAAGGTATGCATAAAAAATAGGAAATTTTGACAACATGACAAAAATTTTGAGTGTCAATGCAATTGCTCGCACAGAGAGGATAGTTAAAGACAATATGGGCGTAGAAATTTCTATCAAAAATCTCGCTTAAGACACATTTTTGATAGGTTCCAAAAACACATTGAAACTAACATTACAATATAAGATAAAAGTTAAAGATTTAATTATAGAATAAATGTTAAGATTCTACAAAGATACTAGAAGGTTTGAAGGAACACGAGGGTGAGTCGGATAACCCAATGACCTCCTCAAACTAGGAATATGGGTAAAGTTCTGATGACCCGGCCTTCTATCGGGTTCTTAATAGATAATTAATAATAGGTAATTAAGACTACATTCATCTAAAATCTATAAAAATGAGATAACAACAAGTGTCAACTTTCATGCCAATTGCTTAACAAAAAGTCTACCGCCACTAAATTGATAGTGATAACCAGGATTGTATTTTATCGCATAAGTACACATTTAAAACACTTTTAAACGCGAAATACGATAAATTAAGTAATAAATTCACCCGTTTATCATGTTTTATTTAAATATATAAAAACAGTGAATTTTATAACGTCGATCGTATTGAAAGTCAATATATATTTGATTTCACAGAAAGTGGATGCTCTCAAGAGCCTTTACACAAGTGTAGACGACGTGGATCTCTTAGTGGGGATTATAAGTGAGAACAATATTGAAGGTACATTTATCGGACCAACATTATTCTGTATCATGGTTAAGCAACTGCAAATATTGAGATTCTCAAACAGATTTTGGTATGAGAGAGGAGATAACTATCATAGCTTCTCTTTATGTAAGTATTTAGCGAAATGGAAGTAAAGTTAGTCTGCAAACGTTTAATACAAGAAAGAGAAAGAATGAATTAAACAAATTTATGTTGTATCCCCTTAATTATAAATTGCACTTAGTAAAATAAATAACATATCAATCAGAATTGCACATATATAACGAATTTCACTAAGCAGAAACTTTGTGCACCGTATAAAATGAAATATAGTCACTAGCTTACGCGGGCGATAAAATAAATCACTATTAACGTTTAAAAATTAAAAATATTGGTTAATTCATTTTAGACCCCTCGGGGCCCCCCTTCCCCCCCCCCCTCCCCGCCCCCCCCGGGCGTTGGGTTTTTTTGTGGGGCGCCCCCCCCCGGCGGGTTTTCGGTTTTCCCCCCCCCCCTCCCCTTGGGGGGGGGCCCCCTCCCCCCCCCTTTCCCTTTTTCCCCCCCCCTCCGGCCCCCCTTTTCCCCCCCCTCTCTTGGGCTTCCCGTTTTCCCCCCCCCCGGGGGGGGGGGGGGGTGTCCCCGGGGGGCGCGCGCCTCCCCCCCCCGTTTTTGGTTTCGCGTTTTCCCCCCTTGGGGGGGTTTTCCCCCCTGTTTTGGGGGGGGGGGGGGGGTTTTTTGGTGGGGGGGGGGGGGGTTTTTTTCCGCGGTCTCCCCGTGACCACGCTGCTGCAAAGCATCCGAAACGTCGGGCCGAAGTTAAGAATAATTTGCAAATAAGTTTAACTAATATATCGCGTTTTAAACCGTTAAAGTGTTTTATTTAAAAGAGACGAAGACCTTTGCCAATTTGTCTTTAACCAAAAGGTTGCATTCATCTACAAGTGTAATCTTTTTATAATCACGTATAAAAGTTGCACTACAACAAAAGTATCCGACTGTTTTGACAAAGGGAAATTCATCAATAGGTGGATCGTTTTAAAACGTTGTGCAAATAGATCGCATTGATTTATTCAATAATTAAAACTCGAAAGTCAAACAGAGTCTCACAATCCTTATTCAAACACATTTACGCTCGGAACCATTTCCACTTCGGCTCCATTCTAGCAATTATTTAAAACGAATGCTCAAAATCGAATGAGAGGAGACAGGGGTATTGTCAATTGCAGACACTGGAATTAAAAATATTTATATTTCGCCTTGCTTTATCTTCAGATGGGAAAAATTCTCTTATCGGTGATATAAGATTCGCATTTATTTTATAAAAAAATTTAGAAGTGAAAAGTTCATGAAATTCGACGATGACGTTTGAACACGATAGCGCAATTGGTTAAAGTAACAGTACGGAACGCTGTGGATGTCGGTTCTACTCCTGCCCGTGTCGTAAAGTTTTTCAATTCAAATAGATTTTTAATTGAACAATTTACTTTCAGCTCAGCTTCGTGAAATAAGGAAAGCTAATATAGCGCGATTAGCTTGCGATAACGCCGAAGGAATTAAATTCATACAACCATATGGATTTCTTAGTACTTCCCACAGGTACGTTTTTTGTTAAAAATATATTGAAACTACTAACTAAACTTCTGTGATAAGTATCATACAGAATAGTTTTTACTACTAAAAATATCTTAGTTTAGAATAATTAGCCTTTTGTGCACTAAAATATAAATTATATACCTAACACTAAGATGGTCTTTCAACTGACATTTTAAGGGTTCAAAAGTTAAAAGAAAAGTTGGTCAGTACTTCAGAACCGAGTTGATATAGAGAACCTTAAATAAAAAATAATGTTTTTCCCTCTTCCAGGAATATGCCTGTACCCTGTTCCCACATCCCAGGCCTCGATTTAACGGAATGGCGAGACCCGAACTGCAAAGGGAATGAACAAACCGATTCCACTACAAACCTGAAATATAGATACGACAGCCTCTTCCCAAAATATTCATCGTTTATAAACGATATTTTATCATCCATGCGTTTAACGTAGCTTGTATCTGGAGTGAAATAGTTTTATGTGCCTTGATAGTAGTTTGAGGCCCAATTTAACTTAGAAATATTGACATCGCTTAAATGATCTAATGTTATGGTAAAATGTTGATATTACAGACGTTTGCTTTGTAATTATTGCTTAATTTATTACAATACAATGTCAAAATTAAAATATATAATGTGTGATAATTCCAATATGTCAAAACATGTCTTTTTTTAATAAAACACGGTTGCTGCACATCTTCCGAAAAGTCGGGCCGTAGTTAAATATTTTTGAAATAAGTTTAACTAATACATTTCGCGTTTTAAACCGTTTAATTGTTCTACTAAAATGCTATACTACTCGAGCAAACTTCAGAAAAAACTTGCATTTTATTTATTGTATTTTCTTATGTAAAATAAAGTTCAGAACTTAATTTTTATACTACTTCATTAATTAAATTCTTAAAACATCTTCTAGTAAAGTGTCCAAGACGAATTAGTAGAAAACGTAGACGTTTCTTGATAAAAAATGCAATTCAACATCACGCCACATTAATTTCAGTGTCCTCAAGAACTGTACGGAACCAGTTTTTCCTCCTCAAGTAAGAATAGTTAATCAAACGTTGGACCAACAGACGCGGGAAACTTTCTCGAGATCTCATTCGCGGTAATAAAATAAATTAAGAAAAAAGCTAAAAGCAGCTAGTGCAACAGACCTCGTTTATTCAACGCGGGAATTGGAGTAATTTCCAGAAGGAAAATTAAAATGGAACGAGCTTATCTCGCCCTGAGCCCTCGGCGCAATTACAGACTAAACAAGTTTCAGTTTTTCCACTTTCGGCCTTAGACCAAAGATCGCTAAACCCGAGTGGTAAAACTTCTTAATTATTACCTACTTTGGCTCGCCAGTTAAGATTTCCTTCTACGGATTTGCTTTTAACTTTTCACTTTGCATTTTCAGGCTATATGTGTTTGATGGTTTCTCAGTTTACATTTGAAAATAACGGCGCCCCGAGGGCCCTTTTTTTTTATTTTTTTTTTTTTTTTTTTTTTTTTTTTATTTAGGCGTAGCTCAGTCGGCTACTAAAGTATTTCATTGTATATCATAGATTAACGTGGACCTAATTATCGCATTTCAATATTAAGGCTTGTTTCTGTAATAGTAGCGATGTAGGGCTATTCAACGGTTCGTGGGTTGAACCCCATCGCGTTGGCGCAATGGCGAAACGTCGAGAACCTCTTCTCGCTTACGTCGTCTAAACAGCCCGAAAAACAATGATATGATGGACTGTCTGGAAATTATTATTAAATGATAAATGTCGAAATAAGGTCTGATTTACGAAGCACTGTTGACAACTAAAAAAGCTGTGAAATTTAAACTTTTTTTAGTTTCAGCCTGTGGATTCCTGAAAATCCAAAGTCAAAATCGACAGCGCACCATTTAGATCTTATATGGCTGGGGTATTTCGCCTTCCATCAAGTGAACCATGTTCTCGTCTGTTCTCTTCTATCATAAAATATCAGCAAAGGTTCATACGAAAAATAAACTAAGATTTTAATAAATAAAACGTGTGCTGTTTCATTTAAAATAAACGCGAACACGAAGCAAGATTGAATGATCTACTTGACCCCAAGATCAGTCGGCGTTGCGGCGGGCAAATTGGGCAGTTTGGACCCACATTTTGTACGAACAGACCATTATTGGATCTCGCATTTGGGCCGGAAGGGGACAATTCACCTTCCACCGAATACACCTTCGGTTATTTGCTTTTGTTTGTGACGAATATAACGAACGATTGAGGTCGCTTTGAATTTCCTCTTCTCTATCGAACGAAACAATAATCGTAAAACAGATAAAGTGTATTTAAAATTATTCATATATTTTTTTGTGTCAAGAGATCAATACATAATTAGATTTTTAATCAAGACGTTCTCTTTTATTAAGATTATTCAAAATTTATATGGGATAAAATTATTAAAAAAAATATTGATTTATTAATTAAAAAAAATGTTTTAAAAGAGTGCTATGTTATGCATGTATAAAATTAGTTTTAACGTATGTTTCTTTAATTTACTCAAACAAGTACAAAGCACTTGATTTATTCAAGTACGTTTTAAATACTAAACTTTTCAATTAAGATAAAAAATACATGAAGCCACTTTAAGAGGACCTTTGTGCACTGCCCGACCGATTTTATCATTTGTTTTACGTGTAAATCTATACTATGTAACTAACGTCGTATGTTACCTTTGTTAAATACTATATTTGTATAATTATACATACTTACGAATATCTATTTATTATGGATATTATCGCAGTAACTTCAAAGTAAAGAAGTGTAGCCTGAGTACGTACAAAATCGTACAAAGTTACTTTAATTAATAAGTGTAAGCTGCTTGATAAAACATGTTTACTATACTAGAAATGTTGGTAATGGCAGGTACACACTAGGCGTGATTGTATTTAATAATCACCTGTGTGCACCATCAAAATAATCAAAATGAAGAAAATAAAAACCCTGTGTTTTTTGTTAGTTTAATTATAATATTTGGATCTCTGCGAAGTTAAATAGTTCTTTTAGCTATAGCTATATATATAAAGCTATATCTACATTTTTAAATAAAACATTTTAACGGGGAGACCCCGTGACCACGGCTGCTGCAAAGCATGCGAAACGTCGGGCCGAAGTTAAAAACCATTTTCAAATAAGTTAAACTAATATATCGCGTTTCAAAACTGTTAAAGTGTTTTATGTTAAATGTGTACTACTCGCGTAAACTATAGACAGTATTTTGTATCTAAATTTGAGTAACTTATCGATTTTCCGGGATTCGAATCCAGGAAGCTGCCAGGAGTCCAGAAACTCTTATGCAAAATGCGTTTTAAGCAACGGAGATCAAGCGTACTTCTAAATCAAATATACTTGACTTTAATGAAAATGAGACCAATAAGCATTTTATATTATTTATGTAGTTTATACAAAAAGAACATACCTATGAGATGACTATATATACCAATAAACCTGAAGAGTTTGTTTGTTTGTTTGAACGCACTAATCTCTGGAACTATGGGTTCTAATTGAAAAATTATTTTTGTGTTCGTTGAACCATTTATTGAGGAAGGCTATAAAACATCACCTGTGACTAATACAAGCGAATATACCGCGGGAAATGAGAAAAAAACTGGGAAAATCATTCATAATTATGGGTTTCCGAGGCGTACGTTGCAAAAACGGTTCAAGATACCCAAAAATATGTATAGAATGATTTCTCTTTAAATGATATAAAAAAAGTCCACGACGCTATATGTCTATCTTTTAAGACTAACTTGTAAGAATGACGGGAAAGGACGCAACCGACATCGTGGGTTACAGCTTAAGATGATAAAGATACAGGGGTGAGCAAAAGCGAATTTCGATGCCCATTCTTAGCTGGCACAGCTAGTATTATGCACTTATGAAATTGTTAACGAAACCGCAGAATGTTGAAGCTGCCGCTATATTAAAACAATTCCTGTTTCAACCTGTTTAATTTATTTTATTCAGCCGAATACTTTATTTTATAATTGAAAACTATTCACCATTCATCTGGCTTTCCAACACAAATTTCAATTAACGTAAAACAACTCGGACTAAAATTACTACAGTCTTAGAATTTATTATTTCTAACTAGATTTTATTACATGCTGAAATAGCAATGTTAAAGAAAATTGAAGGAAAGTGCTTTCACTATTTGCCGAGTTAAAATTTAAAGAAGCAATTCAAGTGTATTTAATTAAATAGAGCTCAAAGAAATAGTTGAATATGTTTTTATGAATGCTGTCTCCAATAGATGTAAGAAAACGGAATTAAATGTATGATTATTCCTGTTATACGCTTCACAGAAGTCTTTAAAACGTTCAAAATGAAGCTTAAAAAAGGTTATTTCAACTTGAAACTTATATATTCTTGCCTAAATGTGTCTTTGATCGTGACCCAGATATATTTGTACTGTCTATATTTGAGTGATCTAAAAGTTGAAGTCTAAATCTACCTCGATCGAAATATACTGCAATAGAATCCTAGACGTATAATTACGCAAGAACGACGCGACGGACGCTATCGACGTCGTAGATATAATTTAAAAAGCTGAGGTAGTTGTTTGCAAGAATCTAAAGTCGGGTGTGAAAAATGTGAGTAGAAAATGGAACACGTTACCTAAACCTATTTACACGAAAAACGAGTAAAATAGCAAATAATCTGCCAAACGTAATTGTTAATAGTAAATATGACTAAAGTTATGATTAATTTTATCATATTCTAGCTTCGTCCGCATGGAATAGTGACTTTGGGTAGAATTTATAAATTTTTAGGTTGTTTATTTTATAATTTTAATAAGACACATGTATAAATACAGTCTTACAGTGTTCCAAAGTTACTTTCGTATTTGTAATATTAGTAAGTTCTATAAAAACTCCCACTCACACTTTTAAATAAAACACTTTAACGGTTTAACGGGGAGGCCTCCCCGAGGTCTCCCCGTGACCACGGCTGCTGCAAAGCATCCGAAACGTCGGGCCGAAGTTAAAAATCATTTTCAAATCAGTTTAACTAATATATCGCATTTTAAACCGTTAAAGTGTTTTATTTAAATGTGTACTACTCGCGTAAACTATAGACAGTATTTCCCACTCTCCCATTCCCAAAAAGCCAAAGAAGAAAGTTTCATTGTTTCAGCTTCAAAAATCACGAATTTCCATAAAAACTTTAATCCCCCTTTTCAATCCCTAACAACCCTTTTTGGCATTAAAAAGCAGCCTAGTCCTTCCACAGGCTCTAGAATATCTGTATACCAAATTTGATTTAAATTGGTTCAGTATTTTTGGCGTTCAAGCCGGACAGACAGACAGAGCTACTTCCGTATTTATAATATTAAGTAAAGATTATAGCTGGATTGTATATAGTTTTTTTTCACTGCTTAGTAATGTCGTTACGATCACTGTCGAACTGTTTTTTTTCTGGAGTGGCAGGATGTGTA